TTTTCTTGACCCATTTGTCCATTGATGGGCATCTAGGCTGATTCCATATCTTTGCTATAGTGAATAGTACTGCAATCAACATGGTTATGCAGGTGGCTTTACTGTATTTTGGTTTATAATCTTTGGTGTAAATGCTCAGGAGTGAAATTGCTGTATCATAGGGAAATGCTATGTTTAATTTTTTGAGGAACCTCCACATTGCTTTCCAGAGTGGTTGAACACATTTACATGCACACCAATCTTGTACTGGGGTTTTCTTTTGGCTACATCCTTGCCAGCATCACCCTATCAAGTGGGGATAACATGACAGGATCTATTACATACTTCTCAGTTCTAACACTTAATATCAATGGGCTCAATTCCCCAACTAAAAGACAAAGGTGGTTGTTTGGATCAAAAGGCAAGACCCATCCACCTTCTGCCTAATAGAGACACAGCTAACTGATACAAACAGTATCTATTTAAGGTGAAAGGCTGGAACAAAATCTTTCAAGCAGATGGACCTCATAAACAGGCTAGAGTAGCAATACAATTTCAGATAAAATAGACTTCAAATTAAAATTATTAAGAAGAGATAAAGGCATTATAATTTCTTAATAAGAGGAACTCTCCATCAGAAGGACATAACAATTGTCAACATCTGTACATTCAAAGTTGGAGCCCTCAATTTCATCAAATAAATTCATTTTGATTCAAAAACACATATAGATTCAAACACATTTATTGTTGGTGACTTCAATATCATTGTCACCACTGGGTAGGTCATCCAGGCAAAAACTCAGTAAAGAAACCTCAGACCTTAATAACTGCATTGCCCAACTAGACCTAACAGATATCTATAGAATCTTTCACCCAACAGCATCACAATATGCATTCTTCTCAGTAGCCCATTGAATAGTCTCCAAAATAGACTATATCCTAGGTCACAAAGGAAATCTCCTCAAATTCAAGAACATTGAAATTATTCCATGTATCCTGTCAGACAATGATGGAATAAAATTAGAGCTCAACAGCAAAAGCCATCACAGGTAAAATTCATGAAAATGGAACAATATATTACTGAATGATCAGTGGGTAATTGAAAAGATAAGAATGTTTCTGGAATTCAATATAAGCAAACACAAAATACCAGTTTCTCTGGGACACAGCAAAGGTAGTACTCTATCTTTTAATATTAATACGTAATTTATCTTCTTTAATTTATTATTTGATGGATTAACATTCTAAAGTCTGTGTGGAGAAGTAATTGATTTTTGAATGTTTAACTAATTTTGCATAAATAACTGATCTATTTAACAAGTAATATCCCTCTTTATACTTGATAGTTTTTGGATCCTGAAGTGTTATCTGTCTAAATACAGCTACTCTTATTTTATTTTGTCTACATGATATATTTTATATTGTCTCCATCATATATATGAATGTAAATATATACTTAGAGTGTTTCTTAAAGAAAATATATACCTGGGCTTCATTTTTGATCCATTGAAAATATCTGACTCTTAGCTAGTGTGTTTACACTAATGACATTTAAAGTGGTTATTGTTATAATTGGATTATTATTTTGTTTTCTTTTTTAAAAAGTATTTATTTATGTGATACCAAGGAATCAAACCCAGGGCCTCATGTATGCTAGACAAGCACTCTACTACTAAGCAATATTCCCAGCCCTCCTCTACTGTTTTTTATTCACTGCTCTTAATTTTTATTCCTGTGTTTACCTTCCACTTGTGGTTTTAACAAAGCATTTTGTATGATGCTATATTTCCTTTCTTCCTTCCTTCTTTCTTTCCTTCCTTCCTACCTTCCTTCCTTCCTTCCTTCCTTCCTTCCTTCCTTCCTTCCTTCCTTCCTTCCTTCCTTCCTTCCTTCCTTCCTTCCTTCCTTCCTTCCTTCCTTCTCTCTTTCTCTCTTTCTTTGTTTTGCATTCTGTGCTGGTCGGGGCTTTGAACTTGGCCTGGGCACTGTGTCTGAGCTTTTATGCTTAGGGTTAGCACTCTATAACTTGAGCCACAGCTCCATTTCTGGCTTCTTGTAGTTAATTGAAGAGTCTCACAGAGTTCCTTTCTAGGCTGGCTTTGAACCATGATCCTTAGATTTTAGCGTCTTAAGTAGGTAGAACTACAGACATGAGCCACTGGCACCTCCCTATTGTGTTATTTTCTATTTTCTTTGATTATCTCTCCTCTTCTTCTTCTGCTTCTTCCTCTTTCTCCTCCTCAATTTCTTCTCCCTTCTTTTACATTTAAAATCAATGTGAATCTACTTTTAAATAACTACACAATGAATAACTACCCATTATTTATTGCTTTTTATTATTTTATGCATAAGCATAAATATATAAATAGATATGTATGCATTCATGATCAAAGGCATTTTGACATTATTTTGGGCAGATGTGTCTCTGTTAGATCAGTTAAGGATATGAAAAAGAAAGGATATTTTACCTACATCCTTTGTTGTTCTTATTTAATGTAAATTCAAATTTCTGACTTCTATCATTTTCCTGCTCCTTAAGGAAGTTCCTTTAATATGTCTTGCAAGTAGGTCTACCAGCAAAAAATGCCTTTAAGTTTTTGCCTCTCTAAGAAAGTTCTATTTCTTCTTTGTTTCTCTCTCTCTGTCTCTTTCTCTCTGTGTCTGTCTGACTGTCTGTCTCTTACTGGGTTTTTGAAGCAGAGTCTTATTTTATAGCTCCTACTGGTTTCTTCCGTGTGCTCATTCTGCCTCTACTTCCCAAGTGCCAGGTTCTAAGTATATAACACCACACCTAGTTGTTTACTTTGAAAGAACAATTTTTCATGGCACAAAATTCTAGGCTGGTTTGTTTGGGGATTTTTTTTTTCCCTCAACACTAAATATTTAATGTTATTCTCTTGTTTACCCAGTGTCTGAGAAATCAGATATAAATCTTTTCTGTATAGTAGGAATTTTCTCATAACTTCTTAGGATTTTCTTCATCTTTGATTTTGTGCAATTTAAATACTTTAAGAGTATTCTTATTTATTTGTTTGACACTCATCCTTCAGTGTTCTTAGAAATTCTCAAATTTGTAATTTTTGTTTATGATATGAATTTGAGGTTTGATCTTGGGGCCTCCTGCTTGCTAGGCAAGCACTCTACCATGTGAGCAGTACTTGCAGTCTCTTTTTCTCTTTACCTTTCTGTTTTGGAAGTTTCTACCAACATAGATTAGGTCATAGATTATTTCCTCAACTGTGTCCAATTTTGACATGAATTTACTAAGATGTTCTTTATTTATTTATATCGTGACCCCTGCATTTCTTTTACTTTGTAGCATGTCCATCCCTCTGCCTATATTATGTATCTGTTCTGGCACATTGTCTTCTTGATCTATCACAGCCCTTTTGTTTGAAACTCCTTATCTGATAATTCCAACCATCCTTGCCTTTTCTGGGACTGGGGCTAATGCTCTCTGGACTTTTGGTAAATTTTTCCTTGTTTTGTTTCAACTTTTATTGATAGACATAATACAATGGGGAGGAAAAAGAACTGTTGCAAACAGGCCCTCCATCATGTAGTGGTCAGGTTGTGGAAGGATGTGCCCATTAGTCCTACAATTAGGACCCAGTATTTTAGTGAGTCTGTACCTTTAAGCTATGAATTTCACAGAAGCCTCTTAGATTTGCCATTTGTTGGGCATAGACAGCTACAGTGAGGGAGATCTGAATATTTCCCTTCCCCTAGGTTGGTTTGTCCTTGATAAATCTTCAGTTGTTTAGGTTCTGGTAACATAGTTTTTCTGGAGGACAGGCCTTGTTACAAACAGAATGCTCTAGTGCATTTCAAAATAGTTCCTTTTCTTCTCTGTTGTAAGAGATCTCCTTGAATATCACCTGTGTGAATATGGTTGCTCTTCTACAAGGAAAACTGACAAAAATCTGAGGGTTCCTTTAAATGAACTCTCAAGGTTTTAGTTCTTAAAGTTCCTGTAAGAAATTTGTCAATAGTAGTTTCAGTATTTCTACCAAGAAAATGGTTAACACAAAAGTTTCTTCTTAGGGTCTGAGTTGTGACATACAGTACTTACGCAGACGGAGAGAGAGAGCAAAATTGCCCTCTGATCATTTTTCTCCAACAGATCTAAGAAGAGTTGTTGATTTTCATTCAGTCTGTTGACTTTTTTACACATTAAGATGGATTGACAACTTCCAAATACCTTATGAGCCAGACTGGAAACCAGAAGTCTCAGTGTACTTTTCTAAGAAAGACTCCTCACTGTAAAATTTGCCATTTGAGTACATAATTGAGAACAAAACAAAAAGTTTCTTCATTCTAGAAAGTTCTCATGTCCTCATTTGGGATTCCTGAGCCTAATACAGCCCTAGATAATCACTAATCTACTTTTTAATCTTTGTACCCTTTCAGATATTTTTCATAAATAGAATACAATATGTAATTTAAAAATCAACTTCTATAACTTACTGTAATGTTTCTGAGTTTACATCTCTATACCTTAAGGAATTTTTAATCAAAAATTACAATGCATTTATCTGTTTGCTAGTTATTAGTAAATATTAGAAAGATTGAAAATGCATCAGCACACTATTCAAGTTCGCCTACTATTCAAGTTAATTATTCATGAGCACTATCTAGTGTATTACACTTGAAATGTGAAGATTGTGTTATATCAGATCATAATGACAAGACTCATTAACCAATAACTAGCCAAATCAATGATATTAAAGTGTAACAGAACAGCATATGGGAAATATAGTCCTAGATATAGCTGTATTGATTTGTCCAGTAGAGTATAAAAAGGAACAAGAAATGAGCAAAATTGCTATGAAGAGAATATGTTGTATTCAAATAATTAACTTTGTCAAGCAAAGATAATAGTTTATATCTTTTTTTTCTTTCTAAAGTTTGAAAGGTCAGTTTAAAGGTTTCAGGATTTGGATGGACTTCACACTATAAAACTTTGGAAAAAATACAGAATATTCATACATTCATTTATGTATATAAACTGTTATACTTACAAATTATCTTCAAGTCTCTTCAAGGATTCTAAAACCAATGAATGAACACTGTCTAAGGAGCAGGATCCAAAGCAATTTAGGGCTGGAATGTATCGAATCTTCATAACCCAGTCATTATGTAGCTTTCGTTTAGTACTTGGAATGAAAAAGACGATGAGGGTGTATGTTAGACATTCAAACATATAATGTTGAGGGTTTTATTTCAGATTTCATTTGATTGTAACCAAGTCACCACTCTACCCAACCATGCTTCAGTTTGTGTGTATAATAAGTACTGTGCATTATACCATTTTTAACTACTTAAATTTTCCCAAATTAAGTATAGTTAAAGTAAAAAATAACTTGAATAATGGACATATCTAGCTACTGGAAATAGGAATTGAAAGATGGGCCATGGAATTATCTGGCAAGTGGCCACATTTGTCTAAAGACAAGGTTCATATCTTGGCTTTTATTCTCATAACTTATTTCAGCTGGAAGGGGAGACTTGGTGAAGTATAAGACAACACATGGCATGTTGGAAAGTCCCCATGATGTGATTTTCAGTGGGAACAAGTCCCCATGAGGAGTCTCTGGGGGGACCAAGTAACATGACCCCTGTGTGAAGCATGGAAAACAAAGCCCAATTCTTTTTCAAAAAATATTTTTATTGTAAAATACCATACAGAAGGGTTACAATTACATGAACAAGGTAATAAGTATATTTCCCATCAAGCATTGTTGCCTCCTCCTTTGTTTCCCCTTACCATCCCTGCCCTCCCATTTCCCCTCCTCCCTCTTTCCCCCACCAAAGTTGTAAAGTTCATTTTTCAACCTAATGTCTTGTACATCTCATTGTTGCACTGGGTCCACCTGTATTCCTATTTAAACAATTTGTTTTTCCCTTCCCCTCCACAAATTATACCAACATCAAATACAGTGAAAACGGGTTATAACATGGGGGAGGGACATACAAAGCAACAAAGAAATCATCTTATAAATATGTTAGAAACAATAGCAAGAAAGAAAAACCATTTGAGTCCTTATCTTGGGGTTCATTTCGCTTAACATCATCTTATCTAACCATTTCTGCTTGTCTCAGATGACATATACTAGTTATTGCAAATAAGGAAAATCATGGGACCTATGTTTCTTTGGGCCTGGCTTACTTCACTTAATATAATTTTTCCAACTCTTTCCATTTCCTAACAAATGGGGCAATGTCATTCTTTCTGATGGAGGCACAGAATTCCATTGTGTATATATACCACATTTTCTTGATCCATTCATCTACCGAGGGGAATTTGTGTTGGTTCCAAATCTTAGCTATGGTAAATAATGCTGCAATAAACATAGTTGTGCTGGTAGCTTTAGTATGGTAAATTGGGTAAATTTGGGTAAATGCCCAAAAGTGGGATTGCTGGGTCATAGGGGAACTTTATGTGGAGTCTTGAGGAACCTCCATACTACTTTCCAAAGTGATTGAACAAGTTTACACTCCCACCCACAATGCAGTAGGGTTCTCTTCTGGCCACATCTGATGTTATTAGAAATCTTGATTATAGCCATTCTAACTGGGGTCAGGTGGTAACTCAATGTTGTTTTGATTTGCATTTCTTTTATGGCTAGGGAGGTTGAGCATTTCTTCATGTGTCTATTGGCCATCCTTCTTTCCTCTTCAGAGAAGTTTCTCTTTAAGTCTTTAGCCCACTTATTTATTGGGCAGTTGTTTCTTTGAGGATTTATTGTTGGGGATTTAATTTTTTGAGTTCCAAGTACATTTTAGATATGAGACCCTTGTCCATTGGATGACTAGTGAAGATCTTCTCCCAATCCGTCGGCTTTCTATTGATCTTTCTAGCTATGTCCTTTGCCATGCAGAAGCTCTACAATTTCATGTAATTCCCTTTCTCCAATCTTTCTTTGATTTGTTGTCTTTCTGAGTCTGTATTAAGAAAATTTCGGCCTGCGCCAAGGAGACCTAGAGTTTCTCCTATTCTGTCCTGTAATGTTTTCCAGGTGTCTGCAAAGGCCAATTCTTAATTGCTGTGTATTTCTTAGTTCCACCAATGAGATTTGAGGTTATATATTTTTAATGTTTTGTTTAAATTATAAAAGAGAGATGCTCTGTATGTGTGTGTGTGTGTGTGTGTGTGTGTGTGACAGAGAGAGAGAGAGTGAGACAGAGGGAGGGAGGGAGGGAGGGAGGGAGAGAGAGAGAGAGAGAGAGAATATATGTGCACTGGTCCTGGGGATTTGAACTCAGAGTCTGAGGGCTGTCCCTGGTTTTTCTTTCTCTTTGCCCAAGGATAATGCTCAACCACTCGAGCCATAGCCCAACTTACGGATTTTTGTTACTTAAGTGAAGGTAAGAGTCTCACAGACTTTTTTGCCTAAGCTGCTTTTGCAGCATGTCCTCAGATCTTAGCCACCTGAGTAGCTACGATTATATATATATATATATATATATATATATATATATATATGAGCCCCCAACACCCAGCAATATTATATATATTTTAAGTTTTTAAAAAAATTGCATAAGAGATGCTCATTGTAAACATTTTTAGAAAGTAAAAAATTATTAAGAAAACAAAATCCATCTGTCTAAAATCTCACAAGAAAACAATTGCTAATATTTTGAATATTTGCATGCAATAGTTTTCTAAATAGAAATTCATACACAGGAATACACATATGACCGGTATTTATAAAAGTGAATTCAGTCATATATACAAAAATAATGTTTTAGGGTGCCATGGATCACATTCAGGACATTGTACATGCTAGGCAAACCCTTTACCACTGATCCAGATAATAATATATATATATATTTTTTGTCGGCCATGGGGCTTGAACTCTGGGCCTGGGCACTGTCCCTCAGCTCTTCAGCTCAAGGCGAGCGCTCTACCACTTGAGCTACAGCGCCACTTCTGGTTTTCTGGTGGTTTATTGGAGATAAGAGTTTCACGGTCTCTCCTGCCCGGGCTGGCTTTGAACCGCGATCCTCAGGTCTCAGCCTCCTGAGTAGCTAAGATTACAGGCATGAGCCACCAGCGCCCGGCTCAGATAATAATATTTTTAACTTAACATCAAATCATGAACACTTTCCATATAATAGAATATTTTTCAAGATATAATTTAATTGGTACACAATATTTTTAATATTTAATAATTACCCAATGAATCACTACCAGCACAAATGGATGGCTCCATGATACCCTTACCTTTTAAAGTTCTTGGAGTCCAAGATCTGACTTTGTACTTTCTTTTTGGTTTTCGCCTGCTTTAGCCCAAAGTCATCACTGTTCACTGTGAATCTGTTCACAAAGCCGCCATCATCCCCCAGGAGGATTTCATCTCTGCAGAGCTGGTCAGGCAGGGTCACCACACACACGCACAGGAGGCAGTGGTCCATGGGCTTGATGACAAAATAGTGGTCCTAGAAGCAGAGTGCACTCAATGACTTACTTCATGGCGTTGACTAATGACTCCTGCGGTACTTGAGATGTGGCTCCGTAGGACACTTGCTTAGCATGTGTCAGGCCCCTGGTTCAATCCCCATTTCCCAAACCAAAAATTCCATATTATTTGATGCGTTTTATTTTCTAATGTTTTTCATTTTAGATATGTCCACAGTTATATCATGAATGAATGGCTTTCTCTTGGATTTGTAAGAAAGTAGCAACAAGAACTTCAAGCCAAGGGAAGTGTGGCTCAGGCCTGTAATCCTCGCTTCTCAGTAGGCTGGCATCACAAGGACTGAAATTTCAAGTCAGCCCAGGCAGAAAAGTCCTTGAGACTCCATCTGTAATTAGCTAGTAAAAAGGCAGTCTGGAGTCATGGCTCCAGTCATGGAGTACCAGCCATAAACAAGCAAGCTGAGCAAGCTTACAAACCTGAGTTCAAACCCTCATATCAGGAAAAAAATTACTATGAAGTCTAAAAAAGGTATTGACAGGCAATTCACATAAAACTGGACAGTTAGAAAAAGGAAAGTTAAGGACTCCACAGTTGATTGCAACATTATGGACAAATTGCACAAAAAGTTTAGTTTTTCACTGAAGCTAGGAACAAGCATGAAAGAAGATTAAATTATTCCTTAATTCTCCAGTCACAGAAGGACTGCCTCATTGGAGGATGAAAAAAATGTTTTTGAATACTTAGGTGTGTTTATTTATTTATTTATTTATGTGCTGGTTCTGGGGCTTTAACTCAGGGCCTTGGCTTTATCCCTGAGCTTTTTTTGCTCAGGGTTTGAATTCTACTACTTGAGTCATAGATCTATTACCAACTTCGTTGTTAATCGAAGGTAAGAGTTTCATGGGTTTTCCTTCCCAGACTGGCTTCCAATCATGATTCTGAGATCTCAGCCTCCTGAGTAACTAGGATTATAGGTGTGAGCCACCCTCATACATGGTATTTTATTTTTATAATATTCTTACTTAATGAAGATTGACTGGAGAGAAAGGCTTTGATGTTGAAAACATAAACATAACCAGAAAGATAATGGCTGGATGCAGAGCAAGGTGAAAAAAAAAAAGAAAAAGAAGTTGAGCTGGACATGATAGCACAAACTCATTAATGCAAGCCACTCAAGTGATAGAATTGGCAAGATCACTTGAGTTTATGAGATTTGAAACCAGCCTGAATGAACAATGTAGTAAAATCCCACCTCAAATGAAAAAAAGGAAAAAAATTCTCAAAATCAATAACTCCTGAATGAAACACATTAAATATTTTCCTTCCTTCTTTCCTTCTTCTGTTTTTCCTTCCTTGCTTGCTTTTCTTTTTCTTTCTTTCTTTCTTTCCTTCCTTCCTTCCTTCCTTCTTTCCTTCCTTCCTTTCCTCCCTTCCTTTCTTTCCCCTCCTTCCCTCCCTCCCTCCCTCTCTTCCTTCCTTCCTTCTTTCCTTCCTTCCTTCCTTCTTCCTTCCTTCCTTCCCTCCCTTCCTTTCTTTCCCCCCTTCCCTCCTTTCCTCCCTCCCTCCTCTCCTTCCTTCCTTCCCTCCCTTCCTTTCTTTCCCCCCTTCCCTCCTTTCCTCCCTCCCTCCTCTCTTTCCTTCCTTCCTTCCCTCCTTCCTTTTATCCTTCTTCTCCTGCTTCTTCTTGTCCCCATTCTCCTCCTCCTCCCTTTCTCCTCCTTCTCTTTTTCACTCTTCCTTCTCATCTTCTTCCACTTCCTTCTTCTCCCCCCACCTCTCGCTCTCTCTCTTTCTCTGTCTTTGAGATAGTGCCTGCCTTTTTAGATAAAGCTATCCTGTAACTCAATATGTAGTTCAGACTGGCCTCAAACTCACTGTCCTTCCTCTCAGACTAGTTGGGATTACTGACATGTAGCACAGCATCGGGTTTCAGAGCATTTCCGTTTGATCATAGAATGTCAGTGATAGACTTAATATAAAGCCTCCTATTATATATGACTGAGAAAGCTGATGTTCATTAGGGAAAGCAATCTGCTCAGACCCTAGGCCATACTGAAGTGTCGATCTTCTTTCTGTTCACCCTCTCTTGGCACTGTACCTGGCTACTACCTTGAGCTTTATAGTCCCAGACAATAATGGTCCTTTCTGTAGTGGCAACAATTCGTTTCAGCTGAGCGAGGTAATCACATCCTGTAATCCAGGAGGTATCCTGATAGAGAAACATACAATTGGGGGTTATACTGTTTCCTTCTATGAGGTGGTATTGTGCCAAAGAGTAGGTTATTGACATTAGAGACTCTATTTTGCAATGGAGCCTTACAAACAGCTTCAACCCTTTCCCCTTTACTGAGTTACTCTGCACCACCAGCTAATAAAAGATCCACTTCCTAGCAGTGCATGGTATCCAGGAAAGTAGCTGGAATTTGCCCTATTCAGTTTTGAAAGCAAGGGCAGAGAGAACAGATGAGCAAGTACTCTGGCCCTGCTGCATGCTAAAACTTGTACCTAGGAAAGACCTTATGATCATCTGGCCAATGATAAGTAGAGATAAAGGACTTGGTCTTGTATCTTGACTCAAGTTACTGGCCAAGAATAGCTAGAATCTGTAGCCACAACCCAATGCTACGGAGAAACAAGAGCTTCCATTTAGGCATGTCTGGAGTACCAGAAACCACTAGATGCATGTCTGGTTTGACCTTGAATCTTCTGTAAAAACTACTATGAGTTCTAGTGGGTTGGTTTAATGTAAGTAATGCAGGTTCTGAGGCTTAAAAAGAATCCAGGGCCGGGTGCCTGTGACTCACGCCTGTAATCCTAGCTACTCAGGAGGCTGACATCTGAGAATTGTGGTTTGAAGTCAGTCTGGGAAGAAAAGTTCCCTTGAGACTCTTGTCCCCAATTAACCACTCAAAAACCAGAAATGGAGCTGTGGCTAAAAGTGGTACAGTGCCAGCCTTCAACCAAAAGCGCTCTGAGACAGTGCACAGGCCTGGAATTAAAGCCCCATGAATTTTTTTTTAAAGGAGAGTCCTTTACCAGTATGTAGTTTACCGCAATTATTCACTGCCTGCAAACAGTGAAAAATAGCCCAATATCTGTTGGCCTCTCCTAAATCCATGGGATTCTAGAAGCAAGTTACGGTAGTTCTATATATCACAGGTTACTGCTTAAATGAATGATAAACTAGCCCTATAATTTTATGGCTTTTTCAGGTTTAAAACAAAATATTCTCAAATAATTTCCATTATCTTCTTATTTTCATAGATGGAGTATGTCCTTTTTTACATCCCTCAATAGTGGATACTCAGAAAATTTCAGGTAAAATGCTTACAATGAATTTGCAAGAAGTAACCAAGCAATTTTCCACAGATAATTTAACTCCTAGAAACAAGATCTTGATCTTTTTAGCTATTTATGAAGAGTTAGTTTTCAGCCTTGTAAATAAATGTAAATTTATAGTCTGAACTACTTCCTAAACTTAGAATCTATTCAGGTACTATTATCAGAGTCCTAACTTTGACTTCATAAGGAAGTTTTAGATGTACTTACGGTAATATTGGTCCTGGACTGAACTTTCATCTATGAATGAAAGGAAAGAATAGAAACACTTGGTTGACATTATAATTAAAGGTGAGAATATTGACTATCTACAACATCATACAGGTGCTTTGGCTTAGTCTCACTTGTTATCTTCCCTTCCACAAGTTTTCTCTATTTCTCCTTACTTTGGAACCTTTACCTCTGTGGAATAATATACACAGATTGCAATGAGCAAGGTTTATCTCCCTTGGCTTATGCTTGGCACTTTTAACAGTGTTAAGCTTTATTATTTTGTTTCTTATAAGCAAACTCTCTCACCTATGTGTAGTTTTTCAGAGCAACCTCTGATACCAATATTTGGAAATGCAAAGCAACACTAACAGAAAATGACAAGAGTAGTTCATGCTAAATAGATCATCTTAAACAGAGAAATGTTGAAACATCTAGATAGCATTGTTCAATTAAAAAAATCTCTCCCCAAACTAATGAAAGTCTTCATGTTTTATCCAGGAGAACCATTGTTTTATTCAATAAGTCTCTGTTGAGGGAATATCACACCCTGGGTACTGTGCTAGTTGAGAGTTGAATTTGTCCCATGCAGAAAGCTAATGGCTATTAGCAGCCTTTCATACCCTGGATGCCTAAAGGCTCCCAAGATGAAGACAAGTAGCTGAAGCATCTCAGTGATGCAGTTCCTTTCGTTGCTCTACGGTCATAGGAAGTGTGTAGGAAATTGTCTCCCAAACGAATGGTTATATGAAACAGAAAATGTGAATCAGGAAGAGCACTGAACCTGTTGTCATGGCTCCCTACAGACCTCCTTTCATCTGAAATGACAGAAAACTTTCCAACCAGGAATGTACTTCTAGCTGAGGGAGGACATGGTCTGTGGACAGCAGAACAGAGTACCATTGGTTTCCTATCATAATTCTGGATTCTAGCTTTGTTGGAAGTTACTTGCCTGAAGTCCTTTCCTTCTCTATGTTTTCATAATCCTTGTGCATCTATTTTGAGTTTTTAAAATCCAGCCTTTGGGGCAGGAATTTTTATTAATGACACTTTCAGTCCATATTACTGAGAAAATCCTGAGTTGTATCTATTTTATTTTAAATTTGTGGAGGGGAAGGGGAAAACAAATCATTTAAATAAGGATACAGGTGGACCCATTGCAACAATGAGATGTACAAGTTGTTATGTTGAAAATGAACTTTACAACTTTGGTGCGGGGCGGGAGGGTGCCCAGGGAGGATTACGTGGGGGGAGGGAAGGATGGGAAGGGATGGGAAGGGAAAACAAAGGAGGAGGCTACAATGCTTGATAAGAAATGTACTCATTATCTTGCCCATGTAACTGTAACTCCTCTGTACAGTATTTTCACAATACAAAAAATAAATCTTAAACTTCAGAAAGACATTTGTAGTTTTTAATGACTTCAGTTTACTTTTCACCTACATGTGTTGTCTTATTTGAAAGGAATATAACATTTAAAACATTTATTCCTAGTGTATTGAATTTTAACATATTTTAAAGCAATCCATTGCCTCCAATTGCATTATAAGAAATGATGGGTTTGTATATATGAGTTTCCGTGTGTGCAACCATGAGCTTTTGTGTCTGTGCTTGTGTGTAAGTTTTATAGCATATCTAATGTCACCTCACTTGTTAAATATAACCAAAAACTATTTCATTATGTAGATCATTATCTTTCTCCTCATACATTTCAGATAGCATCACAGTTCCATTTTTTTGAGGACACAAAGGTAAAAAAGATTTGAAGAGAAATAAGGTAAGAAAATAAAGAGATAGAGATGGGGTTGTGTATTTAATAAGATGAATTCATTTTTGTTTTCCAATAATTTTGTTCATGAAAGTGATGGCTACATTTGTTTGAGTGCTTACAATGATGTACACACTCTATACATACTAATTCATGTAGATGGGACAGTTTCGATGAGAGGCAAGGCATATGGTTCTGGCAGATAAGCCAGGGCCCAGCTGAATATGCACTGAGCTGGGATCCAGGCTCCACACCCAGACTACAGGTGCCCCAGGGATTGGCTGCCAGCACCAGCAGCTCCTCTTTTCCTCATGACTTGTTACTTCTACTTCTGACAGATACTGAGCTGGGCATTACTGGAGAGCTAAAAGGTACAGGCAAAATGTTAATCATATGATGATTGTTCAAATAGGTGTTTCTAGTATAAAACCTTCCATTTGGGATCATTAACTACCCTTTCCTGCAAAAGCAGTCGAAAATATTTCTCTCTTTTTTTCCATTTCTTTAATTTCCTCGACTATACTAAAATTAAATAATTACAAAGCTTTAACATAAAACCTGCCACTGTCACTAATTACAACTTTTGAGCCCTAAGCGCTTAGGTTTTCTTTTCATAGTGAAATGTTCTCTGGGACATCTAACCATTCGCTCTACTAAAATCTCTTCTAGTTTAAAACACAAGTGTCCAAAGCTTATATATTTAGAAATAAGTGGTACTGGTAATAGTGATGCCTTATGTAGGAAGTGATTGTTCATTAAGTGTTCCTACCTCCATTATTTAATTTGATTTTTCCCTGTCATTCTCATTCAATGGAAATGAGATAAGGGAAGGGATATGAGCAGATGTTAGTGGCTCCTGAAATTTTCCTATTTGACATTACCACTGGAAAAATGAGCAGTGGAATTGCAACTATTTTGTGTACTCCAAGCGCAAAGATTTTGATGAGACCGAAGGTTAGATGATGACAAAATCTGTTGGCTTGTGAATGTCTCTGATTTTGTTCAGAAACTATCCAGATCAGCCTTTAACACTATGGAGGCTATATGGTTCAATGTGACATGCTTAAGGAGGAGAAATGCCAAATGACTCACCAAACCTCAGAAACTGCCCGGGACTCAGCAATCTCAGCAACCCTTACTGCCAATATTTTGATTTAATTTTTGGAATACTCTGAAATATGACTTTTTTTTTTACCTTAAACAAGTACGTAATACATACAAAAATACAAGATGAAGAGAAAAAGAGAAAAAAGGGGAATGGAGGAGGAGGGCAGGGAATATAACATTTTAAATTACCTGGTTGTTAAAGACTGTTATTAATCCTTTCTGAGAAGCTGTTATTAGTAAATCCAACTGAGGGATCTTGACGATGCTCTTAATCACATCTCGTCTCCTACTACCTGTCAATAGCACAATATTTATTTCATCTTCCAGTGACAAACATTTTAAAACTCATCTATTATGCTGGAGATGAGAGAGAGAGTGAGAGAGAGAGAGAGAGAGAGAGAGAGAGAGAGAACCAACACTGGCAGAAACCACTAAGCTAAAATAGAATATAACCATTAAAAATAGCAACTACCACTTTTTAATTACATTTAGAGATAGAGGAACAATCTGAATAAACAGATTTCTACACCTCATGCACACATCAGTATGCACAAGTGAGCATCTTTTGAAATCATTCCTATTTTGAGGTTCTCTACATCTCTTAGAAATCTTTTCTTTGAAGTACCACTGTCATGGTTTACACAGAATAAAAATAAGTCCTAATATGATCTCAGACTTCTCATATAAAAGAATGATGCTATTTTAATATTGTTATTAAAGCACAGTAGGCACTCTGATGTTTCTATGTCCAGATCTGATTAATAAAGCCATAAACACTGGACTTCTTCCTAAGGTGATTTAATTTTTTGTTTTTATTTTTTGGGGACAAGGTCTTGCTGTGTACCCTAAGCTGTCCTTGTACTTCCCATCCCCTTTTCTCCTTCTAAGTGCTGAGATTACAAGTGCCCCACCAACCTGGCTCTAGGGTGATTTAAGTTTTATAATTGTAAACTCTCAAAGAGGAAAAGAAGTAAGCAGACCTCATATTCTAGCACTACCACCTCAGGTATATATCAGAAGAAAAGACATTGACCTCAAAGGGGTGCAAATTAGGTGTTGGGGACTGTAAGTTATACCATTTGTGTACACAGTATGTACATATATAGATGCACTTAGTCACTAATACTTGAAGTACTAACATGTCCCAAAATAGGATGTGTGTGTGTGTGTGTGTGAACTCTTTTTTTTTTTTTTGTTGGTCGTGGGGCTTGAACTCTGGGCCTGGGCGCTGTCCCTCAGCTCTTCAGCTCAAGGCGAGTGCTCTACCACTTGAGCTACAGCGCCACTTCCGGTTTTCTGGTGGTTTATTGGAGATAGGAGTCTCACGGTCTCTCCTGCCCGGGCTGGCTTTGAACGGCGATCCTCAGATCTCAGCCTCCTGAGTAGCTAGGATTACAGACGTGAGCCACCAGCGCCCGGCTTGAACTCTTCTTAAAATGGACAATTGCTAACTCAGAAGCCAGAGAAAAGGTGAAGAATGAGTCAGAAAGTGTCCTTAGATACTCACAGCTCTCCTGTAGCTTATTGTCTCTCAGACAGCTTTAGAACGGCCCACGGGCTCCTCTATCCTTGTCTCTCCAACTTTGTCTGCTATTTCTCTTACCCTCCTGACAGAATCCTGAGCTTTGTTCTCTCTTTCCTCCAGACTTTCATCCCCTTCTCTCTGGGGGCTTTCCTCACCCCTCCCACTCCAAGGGCACATCCTTCCTGTACCACTGTTGATTTTTTTGTTTTTGTTTGCCTTCACAGCTTGCTTACTTCTTTTTTTCTCCTACAGAACTTATTACTTCCTGACACATTGTGCAGCCTACTGGTCTGATTTGTTTTATTTGTCTGTCTTCCCTTGTTTTCCAACTCGAGGTCAGAGATTTTTGGCACTCAGAAAGGTGCCTGGACTACACTGTAGACTTTAAGCACATATTGTTTTAGGGAATATGAATAAATGATGGAATCCAACTTCCATCTACAAAGATGCTTTTTAGAATGCCAGCAGCACTTCTGTCCTGGGCTCTGGTCCGTCCACACCTCAATGGTGGTGGCAGCTGGGATTACACCCCCCCCCCCTTTTTATCCTTCAGTGATGCTTTTCATGACCAGAGGCTGGGCTATGCAGATGGTTTACAAAAACATGAAGTCAAGAGACTCCACATAGAGCTCCCCTATGACCCAGCAATCCCACTTCTGAGCATTTACTCAAATGATCACAAACAAGGTACAAGCACAATTATGTTTATTACAGCATTATTCACCATGGCTAAGATATAGAACCAACCCAGATGCCCCTCAGTAGATGAATGGATTAAGAAAATGTGATTATATATATATACATATATATATATATATATATATATATATATATATATATAAAGAGAGACAGACAGACAGACAGACAGAGACACAGAGAGAGGAATTCTATGCTTCCATCAGAAAGAATGGCACTGCCTCATTTGTTAGGAAATGGAAAGACTTGGAAAAAATTCATATTAAGTGAAGCCAGGCCCAAATAAATATAGGTCCTATGGTTTCCCTTATATGCAATAATGAAAATGTCTAGGATAATCTTATCAGATGAGCAGAAACACTCCAAAGCTATGTACAGATGACCATATAAGATGATGCTAACAGAATGAACCCCAAGATATGGACACAAGAAGTTTTTCTTAATTGTTGTTGCTGTTTTCAATGTACTATATGATTTTTTGGTTTCTTTTGTATGCTCTTCCCTATGGTATATCCCCTGTTGTCACTATATTTGATTTTAGTACCCTGCATCTTATATATACATTTATCTAAGGGGAATAACAAAATGTTGAAACAAGGACACAGGATGACCCATTGCAACAATGATACTCATAAGAAGCTATGTTGGAAATGAACTTTATAACTTTGGGACTGGTGGGGAAAGGGGGGAGGAAAGGCATAGTGGGAGAAAAACAAAAGAGTGGGTAACAGTGATGGACAAGAAAGGTACTCATAGCCTTACTCATGTATCTGTAAACCCCTCTGTACAACATCTTTACAATAAAATAAATTTTTTTTTTTAAAAAAGAAGTTGAGTTGGGCGCTGTTGGCTCACACCTGCAATCCTAGCTACTCAGGAGGCTGAGATCTGTTGATCATGGTTCAAAGCCAGCCCAGGCAGGAAACCACTAGAAAACCAGAAGTGGTGCTGTGGCTCAAGCTGCAGAGCACGCTGGCCTTGAGCTGAAGAGGCGCAGGGAAATCGCCCAGGCCGAGTTCAAGACCCATGACTCACAAAAAACAAAAAAAAAAGAAATTGAGGTGCTTTTTTGTTTTTGTTTTTTTTAGAACACCAGAGATCTGACTTAGACTACATTCTTGTATCTGAGATGATGGGATGAAATGCTGGAAGACAGAGGTAGACGAAAGCTTTGAATATTCTCTTCCCTTCCATCTCCCCTCCAGAGTCGAGTACTGGGAAGAAAATCCAATGTTAACAGTGGGGTGGGATGGGAGCTCTCAGGTCCTGGCTCTAATTTTAAATTAGATAACCAGTATAAGTTGCAAACTGCGCTAATGCCCCATAGGGTTGGTGTAAACTACCTACATAGGAAAAAATCTCCCCAGGGTAATCAAGGACAGGAGGAAATGGAGAGAAATCCTAACTTGAGAATTCCAAGACTATTTTCAAAATGAATGATTCTCTTTGGTACTGGAACTACTGGCATACTATCAAACAGAATTTTTTTTGCAGGTCGGGCTTCTCTGGGAGATAGATGTGAAATGTTCTGCTCTCCCATTCACCATGAAGTATCCTCCAGAGCAATGAGGGCATTTCCATTTTCACTGCAGTTACAGTTTCTTCTCAAACTGTATGTAAAACAGTCACTGGTCATCAGACTTATGAAAAACTGAGCAAGCAAATAAAATGAAAGAGCTCCCACGGAAACAATGCTCCCAATACTTATTTTAAAAACAGATATGTCAAAATTCATGCCAATTTGGAAAGGAAATATGGAATATCACCTGAAATCACAATTCGCTGTTTTCTAGACACCAAGAAAATCAAGTTTTCTTCATCCAACTGGGCAGCAAGAGGATCTTCTTCAGTGGAGAAGTATCCGAAGATCTAGGATCCCAAACAACACATACAAACATATACAGGATCTCAGAATTGCTGTCAAGTTATAACAGAGATTATGTTAATGGAATCAAAAGCCTAATTTAGAGTAGTACCTAGTACCTTGCTGTATGATGACAGCGAGTTACCATATTAAAAGGGGCCACCTGACACATTCATGAAACTCTGTATTAGTGATGCATGATTTCTTACCGTCTTTCCCCTTGCTTTCTTTTCCCTTTCCTTCCTTTCTTTCTGCCTCTCTTTTTTAGTTGGCTCTTGAGCATGCTAGGCAAGAGCTCCATAACCTGAGTTACCACCCAAGCCCTATGTTATGCTTTGAAACATAAGCGTATACTTGTCAACCTCCACCACCCAACTTGCTTTGCAAACCCCATAAATTCTACTAGAGCACATCCTGACTCATTGATGTGTGAGTAAAGTCGGAGAGGCTCCACTATTTTCCAGCCAAGCTTTCCCTTTGAGCTTAAAGGAACTAGTAACTGAATCACTGAATTGGAAGTAACATCCATTGCAATTAATTTTTTAATAGTATTTTATTTATTTGATGCTACCACACGAGCCACAGCTAGACTTCTGGCCTTTGTTGGTGGTTAATTTTAGATAAGAGTCTCATGGACTTTCTACTTGGGCTGGTTTTGAACCTCCATCTCAGATCTCAATCTCCTAAAATTCTAGGATAACAGGCATAAGCCACTAGGGTCCTCCTGGGTAGTAGTCTTTTCATCAATTGCTTTACAAATATTTCTACTTCCTCCTTCACATGCCCATATCTAAACATTACACGTATCACAGCTGTCCTGATCGTTTCTTATAATTAGGCTTCATTCTATACAAAAGCAGAATCAGCTGGGTGCCAATGGCTCATACCTGTAATCCTAGTTACTCAGGAGATCTGATGATTGAGGTTCGAAGCCAGCCCAGGTCGTAAAGGCTGTGAGACTCTTATCTCCAATATCAACTTTTTTTTTTTTTTTTCAGAAAAAGCTGAAAGTGGTACTGTGGCTCAAGTGGTAGAGCACTAGCCTTGAATACAAAGAGTCTCATGGACAGCACCCAGGCCCGGAGTTCAAGCCCCAGGACTGGCAATAAAACAAAACATAATTAACTTTTTATCCTTCCAGAAAACATAGCTCATAGTTCATTTGAACCCATTTCATTGGTAACAAAACTCTGGGTTTGACAGGTAATTTTCTTGAAAATTGAGAAAGGTGAAAGGTATCTTAATAGATCTGTGTTATAATGAACAAGGCTGTTATATTACTGCAATTTCTTTTTTTTCTTTTTTTTTTTGGATTCGGTCGTGGGGCCTGAACTCTGTGCCTGGGCACTGTCCCTCAGCTCTTCAGCTCAAGGCTAGCACTCTACCACTTGAGCCACAGTGCCACTTCCGGCTTTTTTTTTCTGCTTATGTGGTGCTGAGGATCGAACCCAGGGCCTCATGCATGCAAGGCAAGCGCTCTACCACTGAGCCACCTTCCCAGCCCATTACTGCAATTTCTTTAGACATCATTCACTAATGAATTATCCAGTGAAGAGTCATGTACTGTCTGCACCTTAGCTCACAGCATAGCCTTTAAGGCGATAGTAATCCTATCATCACATAGCCCAGTGTATGAGTTCAGGATCTGCAACTAATTGATAGAACAAACTTCATCTTCTTAAGTCTCAATATTCTTTTCCACAACTAAAATAGAAGGATAAACTTCTGAGCCATGTTTTTAAATGATGTTTAAATGACATCTGTGTAAAGCATTTTTTCATTTTGCCTGGCACACAGAAATTAGCCGGGCACCGGTGGCTCATGCTTGTAATCCTCAGGAGCTACTCAGGAGGCTGGGATCTGAGGATTGTGGTTCAAAGCCTTCTGGAGCAGGAAAGTCCATGAGACTCTTATCTCCAATATACCACTCGAAAACTGGAAGTGGCTCTGTGGCTCAAGTGGTAGAGTGCTTGCCTTGAGCAGAAGAGATGAGGGACAGCACCCAGGCCCAGAGTTCAAGCCCCATGACCGATAAAAAACAAACAAAAAAAACACAAATTATTATTTAAAAATACATGGCTATTGTCATTAGAAAGCTTAGTCTGAGAAGTCTACTGGGAAAGTATTTTAAGTTATATAAAGACAATTACTAATGCAAATAAAGCTCCCTCTAAGGGTAGTATTGAAAACCACCAGTCTACTTGGGGATTGAATTGGTTTCTTTGATAAGAAAGATGTGTTCAATGGGGTTGTTACCAGAGAAAGAAAGTAGATAAGGAGAATCCATGTAAGAGAAGGGGAAATTCTCAATTCAACTTCTCAATTTCTGTGCAAATCATAGGAACCTGAAGCCCCAAATATAGGAAACTTATCAAGTAGCTTACCAAGGATTTATTTAGCCAAACAGAATAAAGTAGTGAGAACTAGAAGGGGCGGTGGGGGTGGGGGGCGGAATCACACCTTTCTGCCTGTAGGAGATGGAAGCAGAGACTCTTAAATATGGTTGCTCTTGTCCCAGATACATGTTTTACCTTCTGAGCTAAGGGATTCCAGCTTGAAGCTCCACACGGGCATGTGGTCACCTAGCAACAGTCATCAATCATTTTGTTAAGTCCTTGTTTTTGCTATTACTGGTACTTGGGGAAAATAAGACTCAAGTCTTATTATCACTCAAAACACGGCTATGAGCAACTGTAGTACACCCTTCGGTACCCATGTCTTGCCGCCACCTTTTCACCCTCCACAACTGGCTTGGAGCAAACTCAAGACCATCTTACAATCCATGCTGGCTTTGTATCCATTCTTTCCTCACTTCTTTTCAAAGGGAGACACAATTCCCTTTCCAAGGCTCACCCCTCCACCTGTTCTCTTCACCTTTCTTTTTTTTTTAATTTTATTTTCTTGTGAGGTTACAGTTACATCAGTAAGGTAATGAGTACATTTCTCTTCACCTTCCATTTCCTCAGTTTTTCTCCTTTTCCTTTCCCCAGCAACTTCAACCTCTCTTTCTGACGTTTTAACATTTAGAAGTGTTCAAGTCTCTCCCATTAAATAGACAATACAATAAAGCTTCCCAGGTCAATAACAACACAGGTAACAACCCCTAGGTCTGGTCCTACTCTTCTCCAGCTTCCTTCTCCAGTGTCATGTTTCTTACACTGGTGCTCAAGTTGGGATTTCTCCTTAAGTCACAGTTTGGTTTCTGTTAGCTATAATTATGAGCAGACTTTCCGTTTTTGAATGTTTATACCTTTCCTTTCTGTATGATGGTTTATCGATTGCTGCCCAAACAAAGGATCACAAATCTACCCATTTAACGTAACACCTCGTTATTGGCTCACAAATTACATGGATTAGAAATCCAGGGTAAAAATCCAAGAGTTATTTGAGACACATTTTTACTGGAGTCTATAGGGGAGGAATCCAACTCCAAATTCACTCAGATTGGCAGTCTGAGATCCCTTTGCTTTCTTGATGTCAGCTAGGGCTGCTGAGCTTCTAGAAACTCCTATTTAGTCCTATTGTATGGATATCCACTCAGCAACAGCAATAGAAACTCAAGACTCTCTCCTCCCTTCTGCCTTATTTTTAAGACAGTACTTTGGATCCACGGAGATAATCTAGGATGATCTTCTTATATGAAGTTCAGATGATTAGTTCCTTAAATCTATCTACAGAATCCCTTCACAGCTCCATCTAGACTAGATTAAGAGCTGATTGCACAACCAGGGGCAAGGTTTGTGAATAAAGAGCATCCTTTTATCATCCTGCCTACCACTCTCTCATTAATAAACACTACTCAGTACCATTTAAATTACACAACATTTTTTCATTGTAAATGTTTAGCAGTCAATTTTACCTAAGAGTGAGAAATAATAATTTTCAGACACTAATATGAAATGACAATGGAAATGATTCTGAGGTTATAAATTCCAATGTTTTTCAGAGCTGGAAGAAATCTACAAATTTGGGCACCTAATTTTTAATAGTGTACTCTACATGCCTATGATATTTAAATAAAAAAAGCAGCTTACAGTTATTTAGCTTGCTTTGTATTTTCTATTTGTGTTGTGCAGATAATGACAATGTATCTGTTTAGCTATCTGAGAACAGATGCAGGAAAACATCTAGCCACAATATCTCCTGGGAAGCAATGTTATATATGATAGGACTTAAAAATGGATTTTACTCCTGCTTCTAGTGTCAGTGGTCATAGGACATCAAGTGTCTTAATATCTCTGAGTTTTGCCCATCTGGAAAACAGAGATAATCAGTAAAATTCCTCACCTTCTGCATTGTTAGGAATTAAATGCAGATGTGCATGATTAGATTTATTAGCAATTAGGGAGACTAGATAGCCCTTCAGTTGCATGGAGTTCCAGGTAGGGAAGGTTAATCAGAGTCAACATTTGAGAAGTTTAATGTCAGTGCATCCAGAGATGTTACAAAAACAGAGCCCAAGCATCATCTTTGCTAGTTCCAAACTGTTCAGCCTGCTCAGGAATGTTGAGACTTATTTCCAGGTACTTTACCATGCCTGCTCAGGAATGTTGAGACTTATTTCCAGGTACTTTACCATGCATGTATCTTGTTCTTATGGCCATCTGGAGGTAGATTCTACTATGTAGGATGTCTGCCTCAGCATCCATCCTGTTTCCTGCTTTCTCTCTTCTCTTTGGTGGTGATAGAATTGAGGTTTGGACTTGAAGCTTAGTACATGGTACTCTGGCACTCTCCAGCTGGGCTACACTTCAGCCCCTGTTTTTCACTGGTTAATTTTAGGATTGAGTCTCATTTCCCATGCTGGCTTTACCAGAGCTGAGGTCCACCTACTTTCAGGCTTCCCATCATCTCTGAGATAACAGGTCCACACCAATACCTCCAGCTTCCCTCCTGTTGGTAGAGTCCCTGGACTTTTCTACTTGTCCTAAGCTGGAGCCAAAATGTTCCTGCTATAAGCCTCCTTCATAGCTTAAGGTGGCAGGTATATACCACTTTGCCCAGGCATGTAGATTTGGAAACTATTTCTTGAATTTTCCTGCCTGAGCTGGCTTTGGACCATCATTTTTCAGTTGTCCTCAAAGTTCCTATTATTATAGACACCTGGTTGATATATTTCCAATATATCAAATTCTCAAAATCTACTGAATGAAAACTTAAGACACTATGTCAAATAAACCTCAGGAAACAATAAAAGTTTGACATTTTGAAAAGAAATATTTTAAACAAGTATTATTAGAGATGAGAAAACAAGCCAGGGTCTGATAGGTCATACCTTTAATTTTTTTTTTTTTTTTGTCGGTCGTGGGGCTTGAAAGGTCATACCTTTAATCCTAACTACTCAGTAGGCTGAGAGCTGACGATTATGATTCAAAGTCAGATCAAGCAGGAAAGTCCATGAGACTCTTATTTCCAATTAGCCACCAAAACAGCCAGAAGTGGAGCTATGGTTCAAGTGATAGAGCACTAGCCTTGAGAAAAAACATCAAGGACAGTGCCAAGGCCTTGAGGTCAAGCCCCAGAACTGGCACATAAAAAGAAAAAGAAAACATTTCCTTTCCTTGCATCATGGATCTCAAATTAGCTCTTTCCACATTTTAAGTCGTTAGGAACAGACATTAGTTGAGTATTTTATGACTATTAGATATGCTCTGAATATTAGACTGTGAATTTTCTCTTAGTTATGCTTCTTACAGGGTTTGGTTCATACTGAATTGACTCATTTTTTAAATTACTCTTTCCCTCTGATTACACAATTAATGTATGAGTGTTGTAGAAATATGGAGAATATGAAAAAGAGGTAGAAGAAAACAAAACACTTTGTACTCATTTTTAACTTACCCTGGAACATTATTTTAACATTTCTGAAAGGAAAAAAAATCAGCTTTATAATAATTCACTTTTTGGAAGAAACACAATTATAAGGCACCTTGTATGGTAGCCCATGACTCATGTGTGTATTAATTTGTATTGAGCTTAAAAAAAATGTTCCAGTTGGGCACTGTGACTCACACCCATAATCCTAACTACTCAGGAGGCTGAGAGATCTGATGGATTAAGGTTTAAGGCCAGACTGGGTAGAAAAGTTCACTGCACTCCCTCTCTACTGGGTAAAAAGCCAGACCGAAGGAATGGATCTAGTAGAACATCAGTCCAGAACCCGTGAGGTCAATACACACATTAATATAGTGGGATGGTGTGGTAGGAAAAGCAAGTCATGTCTGAATGGGACTAATTCACTGGTTAACTTTGTAAAAAAGCAGTCACATTTCTTTAGCTCTTCTAAAAATTTAATTTCATTTATTTTTTCTTCCTTAACCCACAAAGGCTTATTGATTAACATATCAAGTAGCCTATACATGGCAAATGTTAGAAACTTATTTGGTGAATAAAAGGATAATTGGTTGGTGTACAACTTCCTTCATAGGAATAATTTTTATTTCTGTTTACATTTTAATTTTTTGGGCTTTTTTATTTGTATTATCTTTTAAGTAGCTGTACAAAGACATTGCTATTTAACAAAGCAGTTTATAAATACAATAGCTCTCTTTAAACATAATTTTCCTTCATCATGAATTATAAACACAGGTCTAGGTGATGTCTTGCTTGAATTCTAAAATTTTATCATTCTATGAATTCCAAGGGCAAACACAAATTCTCCAAGATCAAATGCAGCTAAAAGCAGAAAAAAGAATGTGTAGCATTTTGTGCCACAACGAGATTGATAATTTAGAACCCGATTCCTGCCTCTGTGCATTGACCAGGCGTGACCCCATCTGAGCCCTGTGTGCCTTGAGGATGCGGGCAGGCTTGCATTCCCCTGGGGGGAGCAGGGGATGCCCCCTCCTTCATGTGGGGCAAGGGTTCTGCTCCCGGTTGCCAGACTCAGGTGATGGTTTGCGGAAAGTGCCATTCCTGCTCCTCCTCGTTAACCCGGTAGAGCAATGCCTGGAGACCCCCTCTGGGTACTCACCTGTGCTTTACCTACTTTTACAACCTTGATTACTGGAACTGCTCCACATTTGTTGACAAGGATAAGCTTTTCCTGCTTACTGACTTAAGTTAAACTCTCATTGTCCTGTGTTCCCGGAAAACTGTTTAAGATTAACTCTCTGCTGCCTGCCGTGCTGCATATAGGCATGTGATGTTTCAATATACTCTGTCTATACCTGCATAGTATGGTCCCTTTCTGCCTACCAGACACTGCATTCCTGGATCCCGCTGTGTAAACAGCAACACCTCTGAGCCTGATCTTAAAAGAATGAAGCCAATGTGCCTAGTATATGTGAGGCCCATGGTTCAACTCTAGAACTGTAAAATAACAACAACAACAATAATAATAACAACTGCCTTTAGTTCTTTTTGCTAGTCCTGGGGTTTGAATTCAAAGTTCTGTGAGTGTTAGGCTTGTTCATGATTGGCGCTATACCACTTGAAACAAACCTTCAGTCTACCTTTTTGCTGGATAATTGTAAATAGTCCATCAGACTTTTCTGCCTGGACTGGCTTTGAACCATGATCCTCTAGGTGTCAGCCCTCTGAACAGCTAGGTTTACAGGCATGAGCCTGTAACACCTGACTATGACTCTAATTCTTATAACCTGAAAGGCTAATAATAGCTGGCAAATTATTTTTTTTAATTTTCCATACTGAAATAAAGTTAATTTTAATTTATTTGTAAAAATGATACATCTGAAGGCCAGAAAGGTTAGGTCACACAGCTTGAAGTAGAAATTCTCTGAGGAACATTGACACAAATTGTGTGAAAAAAAAAACACAGAACAATAAAAGCAGAACCTTCTTGCACTGTTTCCTAAACCTCAGGTGACTTTTCATATATATAAAGTATGTCAGAGGCTAGTCACAAGGTGTCCTATTAAACTTGGGTAAGATGTATAAGGATCCTGGTATGGGAATCACAACTGTAATCCCAGCTACTAAAGAGGCAGAGATCAGGAGTATCACACTTTGAGGCTAGAATGCTCAAAAAGTTAACAATAATCCATCTTAACTATTAAGCTAGGTATAATGTCTCACACCTGTAATTGAAGCTATGTAAAAGGCATAGGTAGAAAGAACAAATCTGAGTCTGGCTCTGGAGAAAAATAGTTCAAGATCCCATGTGAAAAATTACTAAAAGAAAAGAGGACTAGAGAGCCAGGTATACTGACTCAAGTCCTTAATCCTAGCTACTTAAATAGCAGAGATTGATGCAAATGTAGTTCATGGCCAGCCTCTGGCAGAAAGAAGTTAGCAAGATTCCATTTTAACCAAATGGCCCCGTGCAGTGGTACACACCTGTCATTCCCAGTGACACAGGTCAAATAAAAAGATCATAGCCCAGGCAGACTAGTCACCAATGCAAAAAAGGGGTTGGAGGTGTGGCTCATGTGGTAGACTGCTTGCCTAGTAAGCATGAAGTCCTGAGTTGGAACCCCAGTACCGAAAAAAAAATAGGACTCCAAGTGATGAACAGGTGTCCTATATCAGGAGTCAATGTTACATGCAATTATTCAAGGGGAAAAATCTCAGCTCTAAGGCCAAAACTAACTTGATGTATGACTTCGGATCATTCAGGAACCTTTCTGTTTCATTTTCCTCCTCCTTACTGTTGTAATAACATTGTCCAAAGTCTACCTTGTGGATGTTCTAGGAAGATTAAATGAGACTCTAAAGGGCACAGAGAAAAAAAGACAACTTCTCTAGCTGTAAGAAGATTATAGGTTTGTAACTTGAAAGGGAAAGAGAAAGATGGAGCAGATGTCAGAGAGAATAAGGCTCAATTTCCTCATCTCTACAACCAAAAAAAAAATCAGCTTTACTTTAGGATTGTATTTCATTACATTCTGAGGCCAGATTCCCAGTTACCATGAAATTCCATGTAAACAGAGTTCCCACTGGTTTCCTTGCTGGCATTGGTGATTTGAGGGACACACTAGAGGATTGTTCTCCTAAATTTAAGAGTATAACGTCTCTTGTCTATAGTATCTACTGTTATTTGATAGACAGCCAGATATTTTTAAAAATCATTTAATTTCTCTGTAAAAATACATATAACATTATTTTGGTAGTACTGTGAGTTGAGCTCATGGTCATACTTTTTATTTAGGCAGCTACGCTACCACTTGAGCCTCTGGGTGGAAATTTCAAGTTAATATTGTGTCAACCAAAAACATCTTAAAGAATGACGTATGTTTACCTGAATTAGGGAAGAGAACGGAAACAAAAGAATGATGAGGCAAAGGACAAGGGGGACCAGTAGGACAGCGTTATACACAAGACAGTAGGTTGGAAATGATCTGTACAACTTGGGGGTAGGGATAGGGGGAGGGAAAGTAGGGGAAAAATAAGGGAAGGGGTAACAAGTTTGACAAGAAATGTACTTATTATCTTACAGAAGCTATCTATCAGAGCCAGTTTCTTCTCTTATGTAAGGATTTGGACCCTGAAAATCTTGGTGGTGGTTAAAGGTAACCATAGTTCTGATTGGTAGATTGGCCTAAAAGTGTTGCAGAGTGACTAATGTGTAGTACAGTTCCAACTCTCTGGATAATCCACGTTATTTCATGCAGTAACTTCAGCTAACTGGCTACAGACATTAAAACAGGCAAATAGTATGGTGGGTGTCATGTCCGTGGGAATCATACTTTGTTTTAGTTGTATATCCTGAATGAAGACAAAGAACATCCAGGTTTCCTATTATTTAAAGAGCAAGATAAGGGAGTACCTCACACCAGTCTATAGATGCATTCGGCTTGTTGCAGAGTTTCCTGTAAAAGCATTTTACATCTTGATTCTTCACTTCGGGACCAAAGAATTGCTGTACCAATTCATAGAACTTGTCACAATCGATTACTTCTGTTGGAAACAACACAGACACATTTGCAGCAGGTTCCAAAGACTGTGTTACTGTTCTAGCTATTTCTATTCCCTATACATCCATTTCTGTACTGTACCCGTCTGAAAACAAACTTTACCTGAATTTTTGTTTTTGTTTTTGTTTAAGTGTGAGTCTGAGGCTTGAACTCTGGATCTAGGCTTCTTTTACTCAAGGTTAGTACCCTACCAATTGAACCACAGCTCCACTTCTGGCTTTTTGGGGGGTACTTTTAAGTGGAGATAGTCTTATGGACTTTTCTGCCTGGGATAGCTTTGAACTATGATCCTCAAATCTCAGCCTTGTGAGTAGCTATGATTACAGGTGTGAGCCTTTTTATTTTTGGTCGGCTGTGGGGCTTGAACTCTGGGCCTGGGCGCTGTCCCTCAGCTCTTCAGCACAAGGCGAGCGCTCTACCACTTGAGCTACAGCGCCACTTCCGGTTTTTCTGGTGGTTATTGGAGATAGGAGTCTCACGGTCTCTCCTGCCCGGGCTGGCTTTGAACCGCGATCCTCAGATCTCAGCCTCCTGAGTAGCTAGGATTACAGGCGTGAGCCACCAGAGCCCAGCGTGCCCAGCCTTTTTATCTGAATTTTAAAGACCATGCCTTTGAAAACTTAATTAGGCCTTTGCTTAAAATATTACAAAATTGGAGGAAATATTTTTACTTTGATGTTTTGTACCCTCTCCAAAGCTCTCCTTATAGCTATTTTAGAAATTGTGTACAGGAATATAAAGATAAGAAAATGGATAGCTTCTTGTTCTAGAACTTTTACTAATTTGAGTCTCTGACAGGATTCATCTTAAATAGAAGGTAGAGCTGTGCAGCAATTACTTAGTAAGTAATTGTATATAAACACACCTACACACATTACTTGGATCTTGATTTTTTCCCCCCAAATTTATGGATGAGTTTAAATTAGACTATTAAAGGAATTGGATGTATGGATTCTTTGAACTATATAGAGTCAAAACCAGATTCTTTTACTTAACAAAAATTTATATTGATCATTGTGTGTCAGCACTAATCTAGACACAAAATGGAAAATTACATAAGCAGAATCTCTGCTGTTAAGGAACTTTCATTCTGATTGGAAGATCAGGAAACTAGCTACTGAAAACAATAACTTACAGATTGTGGCAGACAAGAGTTGTTAATGGGGAACTGAATGAAATTTGTGGTGGTCTATAAAGTAAAAACTTGCATAGCTCCCAAGGAACACAAGAGATCTCCTATGTACTAGAAGGAATCATCTCAACCCCTTTAGTGCTACAGGTATGTATACCAACATTTGAATTCATGGAACGACATATTTAAGATTAGTGCATTTATGGGTTAGTGACACTGTGGGTATGTCTACCTCAATGACAAGGTGAAAACAAAGGACAGCATAGAAAGTGATGTGAAGAAGGAAGAAGGCTTCTTTGAAGTGAAGAAAATGTTAAGATGAGACTTGATAAGCAAAAAGTAGCTAGTTATACTACAAGCAAATGAGAACATTTAGGCATAGGCTGATAAATAGAAAGCCACGAGGCTTGAAGGAGGCGGCTGCTGTGGAGGGTTTGTGAGGAGGTTGCGGAGTGGCACTAGGTAATGGGTTGTGAGCTGAGGCCAGAGAGGAAGGAGGGAACTATGCTCTTGTTTTCAAAAGGATAGTAGGCTATCATTGGATGCTCTGATAAAAGAAATAATATAATCTTAAATTTGTATTGTAAGTGCACTCTGGCTGCTAGTAGGAGGCAGAAATGAAGACTGTAAAACCAATTATGGATAGGAGACTAGGAATGGAGTAGAAGGATGGTACTGTAATAGTATAGGCTTCAGATAGTGGGGTTGGAGCCAGAGAGATACCAAGGGCCATTGTGCATGCCATAGATTTTCATCAACATAATGATCATTAGCACATCCTTTCACTCTTGAAAGTGTTCTCAGTTAGACAATAAGTGATATAGGCCCCCTAGAGATGGCCGTGGACATTTTTACATACGCTTGGGAGAATTTGTAAAGGGACTGGATATGGCTGAGGGTAGAAGAGCTAAGTGAAGGAAAATCAAGAATTTCCAGTGATGGCTTTGAAACAGGAATATGGACAGATCTTGTGTCTCAACCTGTCTCCCTCCCCCCCACCACATGCCAAACACACACACACACACACACACACACACACACCAGAAAATTATTCAGCCGGAAAGGTCAATAGTGTCAAGGTTGAATGAAAAGCTTCGCTCTAGAATGATATTGAGATGTTGGTAGGGACTATGCTTTGCAGGGAAATAAAATATTCCATTTGGGTTGTATTAAATTTGAGATTCCCGTGAGTATTCACATAACCACTTTGCTCTTTAAAATGCACACCAGCTAGTAAAGATTTATGCTTGACTGTGTCACTGGAGGATGATGAGATTTCTTAGCTTGGATGCTCTGAATTTGACTAGGCCACTGGGAAGATTTCAGAGGAGTATTACTGGGGCTAACTCCTGCCAGCTACATAACATCATTCTGAGGTAGACACTGTTCCAATAAAATCTTCTCAAGCTGGGTATGGTGGTGCATGTTCAAAACCCCAGCCCATGGAGAGGCGGTGGCAGAAGGATCTTGAATTCAAGGACAACCTGAGTGTAGGGAAAACCCTATCTCAAAACCAAAAATCTCTCTGGTGCTTAGCTCCTTGCCCATAGTAAAACAGTATACCCTACTTCCCAATATTTATTAATGAACATGAATTTATTTCATACAGCCTTAATAGCCTAAGATAAATCACAATTATATTTTTAATCCCTGCAATCTTCCAGACAAGTCCTATAGTCATGGAGAGGCCAATTTTCTGCAATATTAATCTCCTATTTTTAATCTAATCTTACTTGGATTTTTGTTTTTCTCCAGGGAATCAAGCCTTGGTCAGTTGTTCAGCACACATTTAAGGAGTGTCTTGTGACATCAGGCAGAACCTTGAATGCCCTCCTCAGTCAATGGTCAGAGAGCAGAAACAGCAGCAAACCCATAATCCATAGATGTAAGCAGGCTAAAAAATACAGCTGGCAACTTCCTCAAGACAGCAAAAGCTGCATGAGCAGTGCTGAAGGTGGCATTGCTTTGGCTCAGTTTGACGGTTTATATAAAGAGATGCATTTGATTTGGGTCTTGAGAGATGAACAGGGATTTACAGGAGCCAAAAAAAAAGGAAAGGTATCCTATGTGGGGAGAATGATGTGTCAAAAATAAAGTCATTCCAAAATAGAGCATATTTAAAATTGCTGGAAAATTTTGGAGAGGGGTGATTGAAAGTGCTAGGAGTTCAGGCTGGAAATGTAGGTTGAGACACGATGGTGAATGTCCATTTAGAACATATAATTTTAGAGGTGAGCTGATATGTCAAGAACATAAAAGATCTACTTTTTAGAGAAAAAAAACTGCAGAAGTATAGAGTAATAAATGTGTTGGCAGGAAAACTTATATTAAGATACTATTGTAATAACCCAAGAAGGGTATCAGGACATCAATATTATTCCTAGACATCTAGCTGAGAAGACGAAATAGTGTTTCTGCCACAAGACTGAGTAAGAACAGAGGAGGCAACTCTCAAGAAAAGAAGGAGGCAACAGAATAATAAAGACAAAGCAGGAGAAGCCATGGTAATATCTAATTATAGTAATTGTAGCTACTCAGGAGGATGAGATAAGAAGAATCTCAATTCAAGGCTAGCCTGATCAAGATGTTCATGAGACTCGATCTCTATCATGAAGCAGGATATGGTGGTTTGAACCTGTCATCCCAGCTAAAGTAGATCCTCTGTAAATAAGAGGATCATGGTCCAGGTCTTCCTAGACAGGAACTGAGTCTTTATCTCAAAAAATGTCCTGAGCAAAAAAGAGCTAGAGACATGGCTCAAAGATAGGGTTATCTACTAGCAAGTACAAGGACTGAGTTGAAACTGCTTTTATAATGCCGAAAGGGAAAAAGAAAAGAGAAGAAGAAACAGGAGAGAGTGGAGTAATCAAGGGGGTGCTACCTAAAGCAGAGGCAGCTAACACAGTCAATGCAGTGAAAGGTCCACATGGGCTGCAAAAGAGAAAACAATTAGTTGAAGTTGGCAACCATTAGCTAATGGAACATGTTGGTAAGAGTCTTTTCAGTGATGAGGAAGCAGTACTGGAGTAGGATTGGCAATGGATTGTTAAGGCCATGAGAAATAATAGAGAAGCAGCAGAGAAATGCACAGGGGTGGCTTGAGGGGAAGAGAAACTCAAGAGAAGTGTTTCGATTGAGAGGATAAAGCCAGTGGAAAAAGAGATCTCACTGCCGTGGCTGCAAAGAAAATGCCTTTTGGGGGCAGAGTAAAGGAAGGAAGAGAGGGCCAATGGTGCTTTCGGTAGTTCAGGAAACAGGTTGGGAAGCTTGTTTTGTCCTACAACATAGGGTGCTTGGCTGGGTACCTTGGAGTTCTCTCAGAAGAGATGGTGAGAGTTTGGAAAAGAAGCTACAGAGCTACAACAACCTTGAGGAGGTGAAAAGGAAAGTTTTGTTGTGAGACTTCAGCCACAATCATAAGATCTAAAGACCATCGCTAGAAGTTCTGAGCCTAACACTTGTAACCCGAACAACAGTTGAGCAAGTGGGAAGGTGACTTTTCTCTACCTCTCATTGTTCCCCAGATAAGTGACATTTTATTTCATGAAATCAAATGGAATTTTATTGACTTTAGTGACCTATAAATTACCAAATACTATTTAAATAATACCTGCTTGGGCTCAAGTACCCAAAGTCAAGATCTTTACACACGTGACCATCAAGGCTGACATTTATGAGTTGCGTGTTTCCCTAAAATCCCAGTTTGGTTGCCAGCCTGGGTTACCATTGGCAATGCTAGGACCTTTGCTAGGTGGAGCCTTGCGGGAGGAAGTTAGGCTATTGAGGTTGTGCTTTTGAAGAGGTAACTGAGACTCTGGCCCCTTCGTCTGTCTCCTTTCTTCACAGCTGCCAGGAAGGAAGTAGTTTCTTCTACTATATACTTCTACCAGGAGGTACTGTCTCACCACAGGCCCAAAACAAACGTTTAATCTTCTTAAATTAAAGAACACATCTATTCTTGATTGATTATCTCAGGTATTTGTTACAGTGACAAAGCTAACACAATTGCTACAACATGGCTTCTCTTACCACATCCTTCTTGGGCACTGTGCACTACTAAGACATTGGGTCACCAGTAAGCCATTAAATAGTAGTGTCCACAGAAGAACCCCTAGATAGCATTTAACTCAATAGTCTAATTTTACAATTGGGAAAACTCAGGTTCAGAGAAGCACAAAAAGTTTCGCCATGTCCAATAGCTATTTAGACAAAGTACAAAAGTACTTAGGTCTCCAGCTCCCCAGCTTGCTACTCAGTGTCGGTGCTATTAAGCTATTAAGTTGCTTTACTCTGACAGTCTAAATCATGCCCCGGTTCAAATCCGCAACCCTGAGTGGACTTCTCATAATCATGCATCTTACCTTCTTTTGGGATATACAAGCCTGCTCTCTCCTCTCTTTTCTGGGCTGCTGTCAGTTCAACCAAGTTTTCAAACCTGGACAAGGCTAGTTTAAAGTTGTTGATCTGAAGTGTTTGTTTGAATTTCTTTTCCTCCCTGGGATCCATAGGCACACAGGGAAGGTTTTACTTCTGTTCAGAAATACTACTGTAATTTTTCCAATGTGAAAAATCTTCCCATTCTTTCGATGCCTCCCTCTGTTATTCCAGTTTTTGCCCTAGGTCTCATTCCTGTGGTCTTAAAATCCCATTGTGTGGGAAGGAGTAACAGGGTGTTAGCAGGAGGAAAGCTGACTTAGGTTTAATGCATTTTCATACAAGCAAATGCTTCAGTGAAAATCCTCACCTGACCTCACAATGTTACCAGTGCCCTTTAAGTGACTTCATTACATCACAATATCTCTGTTACCTCCTAGTTTTTTCATGAGATTGCCATTCCCCCATCACATACAGGTGTGTGTGTGTGTGTGTGTGTGTGTGTGTGTGTGTGCGTGTGTGTGTGTGTGTGTGTGTGTGTGTGTGTGCGCGCGCGCGTGCGTGCCCGTGCACTTCTTGAGAGAGAAGATGATGAGTACAGTCAAGAAAGAAACCGGGTCATTACTTTTCCCTCTTAACCTTTCTTTTTATCCTAAAGTTTTCCTCTCTTCCATGTGGAGAATAAGGTTCACACTCACTGTTTTGGATATGAAAACTTTTTTTTTTTGACAGTACTAGGGTTTAAACTCAGGGCTTTACATTTGCTAGAAAGGTACTCTACTGCTTGAGCCATGCTTCCAGCTCTTTTTGCTCTGGTTATTTTTTAGATAGAATCTTGTTTTTTCTTGTTGTTTGTTTGTTTGCTGGACTTAATTAGATTGTGATCCATTTATTTATCCTTCCTGCTATGGCAGGAACAACAAATATGAGATGATCTGGAATACTGACTCTATTGATTTCTGTCACCACTTAGTTAAATGGCTAGGATTACAGACAAGCCACTGGTCTCTAAACTAGAACTTGAACTGTTTAGAAAAATTCTTTTAACTTCAGCTTCTAAGGATAAACATGTATTTCATCCTGTCATTTCTGCCATAAGCAAAGATATTTTTAGAGGTCTTGGAGAATGCAAAGAGTTTTTGTTCCTTTATGAATTGATCTTGAATTAAAATAATAAATGGAGCTAAGGACAAGGAAGGAATGATTTTCAACTCTTTATAGAACACGATTTCTTTTTATCATGGTTAAATTTCTGTGATTTAGGTGAGATGGATAAGGTTCCTATTCCCTTGGTCATCCAACTTTTAAAACATCTTTGCATTCAGGGATGAAGAAAATGGTATTGAGTGGCTCCTCCAATTCTAATCCTGTCTCCTTACTGTCTATTTCTGGATAGGAAGAAGACAGTAGGAGAGAAAACCTCTATGTATCATGTTACATATTTGGCAATACTATTTAATCCTTTTTTCTCTTTACAGCTTTAAAAATGCTCATTATTCAGTAGCATCCTTCATCCCACAATCCTTATTTATGCTTTCTTATGTTCATCTTTCCATTTGTTCAGCAAATATCTATTGAATACCTAGTTTGTGTGAGGAGCTGTTTTAGGCATTGAAGATCCCATAATAAAAAAACCTTTTTTTTTTAAAATTTAAAAACAATTGCTTTAATTTGTATTGTTAAATACAGGTTCCCTAGCTTTTGGCCCAGCCTCAGACCATGTCCACCTCCTGAGTAGCTGGGATTAGAGATCTGCATCATCACTCCTACCCTACAAAATAATTTCTTGAATTTACAATCTAATGGAGAAGGCAAATAAATCATCATGTAATATGTCAGAAAGTGGCTGAGGGCTGTGTGTGTCTGTGTGTGTGTGTGTTGGGTTTTTAGTGGGAGCTCAGGGAAGGTCAATTACTTTACTAATAAAAATATAATTGGAGCTCTGTGCTGGTGGCCTATGTCTGTAATCCTAGATACTCAGGCTGAGATCTGAGGATTGCAGTTCAAAGCTAGCCTGGGCAGGAAAGTCTTTGAGACTCTTATCTCCATTTACCCATCTGAAAACAAGAAGTGGAGCTGTGGCCAAAAGTGGGAGAGTGCTAGCCTTGAGCAGAAAAGCTCAGGGACAGCACTCAGAAATATATGTATAGCAGAACTCAAAGGACAAGAGGTAGCAAGCCAGTGGATTAATAGTAGAAGGATAGTTAGGGAAAAAGTAGAAATAAAGTCTTGAGATAACTATGTGCTTGACACATCTAGGAAATAGCAAAAGGGGTCTGGGAAGGTGGATCAGCAGTAGAGTGTTTGCCTTGTATGCATGAGGTCCTGGTTTCGATTCCTCAGCACCACATTAACAGAAAAGGCCGGAAGTGGTGCCAAGTGGTAGAATGTTAGCCTTGAACTGAAGAGCTCAGGGACAGCACCCACGTCTAGTGTTCAATCCCATGACTGAGCTAAAAAAGAAAAAAAGAAAAAGAAATAGAAAAGGGCCAGTGTGGCCTTCATGATGTGTGCTAGGAGAACAAGATAAGGGAGATCAAGGCTGGTGGTCAAATCATGTATGATTCTAGAGACTATTGTAAGGACTTTGGCTTTCACACTTAGTGTTGTGGAAAGTTTTTTGAACAGAGTAATAACATGATTTGATTTGGGTTTGAAAAATAGTGCTCCAGATATTTCATGAAGAATAAGTAAAATAGGATAGAGATCAAGAAACCAATTAGGTCATAAAGAGTAAACAGTTCTTCAAATCCTACTAAAGAAATGCATTTTTTTCAGTAGACCACCATTTAGCTGTTCTGTATCATCTGAGAGTGTTGAGATTTCTGATAAGGGGAAGGATGAAGTGCATCCACACACCTAGTTCCTCTCTAGGTCTAGTTTGTTTTTGCCATCTGCTGGGTGCTATAACAACTTAGAACTTGTTAGGTAATGCGGCCCTGGATAGGGGGAGATGACTATGGTAAGTTCTGTTGCCAGTAAGCTATTCAACTCAGTTGAGTAAACTCAATTTACTTGTCAAGCTAGACTTGCTTGAGTCATTCTTCAGCTTTTCAGTATTGTCCTTGTTCAGAGGTAGGCCTTTTTTTTATGTCTCCCTGGGAAATTCACACAGCAGGTAGCAATTTCCATAGTCCAAGTAAGAGTTGGGAGATGTACGGACTGTATGCAGATCATTATCTACAATGAAACGAAAAGCAGATTATAACACACAACTAGTGAAAATTGTAATGATGACTGGATAGTTGGTGATATCATGAAATTACTATATACAAATTACACATTAAAATTATGTTGTCATATTGTTTGATTAGTTTATTCTCACTGCTGTAACAAAATGTTTGAATAGTTTATAAAATATGAATTTTTATTTTCATAGATCTGCAGGCTGGGAACAAGATCAAGCTTTCAACAGACTGAGCATGAATAAGAGTCAAGTCCTTAGAGATGATACCTTCTATGTGTCCTCAGATGGCAAAATCAGCAAACAGATTCTCTAGGGCTTCTTTTTTTTTTTTTTATTGTAAAGATACTATACAGAGGGTTACAGTTACATGAGTGAGGTAATGAGTACACTTTCTCTTGAACATTGTTACCCCCTCCATTGTTTTCCCCTACCATCCCCTCCCTCCCTCCCTTCCCCGAGGTTCTTTTTTTTTTTTTTTTTGATTGTGATTAAGTGATTACATAATTTCAAAGTCACAAGTTCATTCTAACTTTCCTGGAGCAAATTGTCTATCACAGTCTGTAATATATAACAGTGTTCACATATTATATACCATATTTGTGATCAGCAGCATGGGGATATTTAGTAGTGGTTCAACCAGATGAGCGGGAGTTCTTTGTTTCTTAAGTCCTGTTAGTTTTGTTGTATCACCTAACTTTTTGGATTTAGCATCCACTTATCAGGGAGACCATGTACCGTTTGTCTCTTCGTTCTTGGCTTACCTCGCTCAACATGATTCCTTCTAGCTCCATCCATTTCCCTGCAAATGCCATTATTTTGTCATTTCTAATGGCTGCATAATATTCCATTGTGTATAGATACCACAATTTTTGGATCCATTCATCTGTGGTGGGGCATCTAGGTTGTTTCCATATCCTAGTTATTGCGAACAGTGCTGCAATAAACATGGAGGTGCACGTGTCCTTGTATATTGGTTCCTGTTGTTCAGGGTAGATGCCTAGAAGTGGTATGACTGGGTCGTAAGGGAGGTCAATCTTTAGCTTTCTAAGGACCCTCCAGACTGCTTTCCAAAGTGGTTGTATAAGTGTACATTCCCACCAGCAGTGTAATAGGGTTCCTCTTTCTCCACATCCCCTCCAGCATTTGTCGTTGGCTGATTTGTGGATGTGGACATTCTGACTGGGGTAAGGTGGTATCTCAGGGTTGTCTTTATTTGCATTTCCTTCACCACCAGGGATGATGAACATTTCCTCATGTGTTTCTTTGCCATTTTTATTTCTTCATTTGAGAAGTCCCTCTTTAGTTCCCTTGCCCATTTAGTAATTGGTTTGTTAGGTTTGGGAGGGATTAGTTTCTTGAGTTTAGGGCTCCTTTTATAAGGAGACTAGTCACATTCATAAGAACAGAACCTTCATGACCTAATCATGTTCCCAACTGCCATCAATTTGATGGTTAGGTTTCAGCATATGGGCTAGGGAAGGGTGACACATATATACAAACATTAATGCCATAGCATTGCATTTTTAACATATTTTGAAGCTACAAACTTGAATCCCTACAGTCAGCCATGGAAGTGTGAAGGAGCAGCCAACTTTGAAATATTGCTGAGAGTTTACACATGGGAAGTATTGAAAATTAACCACTGGGATGTGAATTAGTGACTTTGACAAGAGGTATTTCTGTAGAATGTTGGGTAAAAGAAAAAGGGGGAACAGGAAGATAGTAAGTACAAATTCATATTTTGCAAATGATCTTTTGAGAACATAGAGATGACCTGTAATAATGCACCAGTATAGGCAGCAGTAAAATGAACTGTCTTAGGAGTACCTCACAAAACTTAAGGCTTGAAGAATTCCCGTATCTAAAGGATAACCCATGTGAAAGGATATCAGAAGGCACTGAGAAGCAGTTCTGCATGCATTTGCCTATTACCAACTCTATACTA